GAATATCCATGGAGACTTACAAGCCAAATTACAGGTTAGATTTGTGGAACGGCAACCCCACTTACTGTAAGAACGGATGGTTTTTAAGATATTTTTGAGCACCTGTAATTGAATAAATGCAAGACATATTATTTTAATTCCATACTGTGGACAACTTATATCAAAGTATTAACATCTCCATGGAGAAAACACAGGCAGACCCCCTCCAGAAAGATTACACAGTGCACACCTTTAACAATAATATAATAATAAATTAGGAATAAAGTCAGTACTAAAACTGGACTAAACCACAGCCCAAAAGCTCTTGAAGTCGTATTATGTCCTCTGTGTGCTGTCTGCTTCAAATTATAAAGCATTATATTGATTGTTTGATAAACAGGAAGTGTATGTTAGCCTGCTAGTTGTTGTGAGCCTTACAGTGAAGGCAAAACTCAGTTCTAAAAAGCACTTAAAAACTCCTCACAGTGAATAATTAGGATGCTTGGAATACATAAGGTTAGTGAGGAATAATTTTGGACCACTGCAACTAGTTTTGTTTTTCACGAGTTTATGACAGTAAAAACGTTAGATACAGTGGCTTTAACTGTACAATGATCTATGGTACAAACAAGCATGACCCTGGCAAAGTCATGGTTAAAGTGACATTATTCAAAACAGCCTAATCAGAATAATCCCTGACATGCCGTGGAGCAAAGTTAACCATTTTAATTCAAATAGAGGATTAATCTGTTTGTTTAACCATTATTACCCTGTGGCAGCTGCTGTTTGGTTATGTAAAACACTACCAGGGTGTACCGCGTATGTTGATTGGAAACTATGATATATTTAAATCTGTTTATCAGTTAATAACATATTTTAATAGGAATTATCAATGACATAAGAGCTCAAAATGTCATCTACTGAGCACACCCGCTATGGCTTAAAGCTCCTATATTACAGTAATTGACTCTTGTGAGCTTTAAGTCATGTTATAATGTTATTTCCTTTTCAAAAGCATACCCAGAGTTGTGTTTTGTTTCATTCACACATGTTTGAGTAATCTTGCATTATTAATCTGTCTACATCTCAAAAGCTCAAAATGCTCTGGTCCACCTTGTGATGTCATGTAGTGATAGTTTTCAAGTCAACAGCTTCCTTTTGCCTTTAGTTCAGTAGAGATTGGCATTTCCAGGGCTGAAATTATCCACATGATTCTAGTGAAGGTAGATGGAGTTCAAAGACACAGTGGAGACCCTTTTCCCCATGTATTTTGGTCCAGAAATATTGCTGAAAAAGAAATCTGCAATGTACTGTCTGCATCTACTTCGAAAGCATTTTATTGTCTGATAATCAGGAAGTGCACGTTAGAATGCTAGCTGTTGTTCGCTTCATCGTGATGACAAAAACTCCACCATGGCCTCTGGAAGTTCTTATAAACTCATTGCCGTCAACAATTAGGATGGGGAATAGCTTTGGAACACAGCAAACTGTTTAAAACGAACTGGTTCTGTTAAAGTAATTTTTCAGTAATTTATTATGAATGGCAAATTTTTTCGTATTTTATTACAGCTAATGAAGTTATAGTCATTATAAAGTGTTGCCAATTCATTTGCTGTATTTCAATTGCACTGGGCTGAGACATACACTACACATTTCACTCTTGTTGATGAACCATGTCTGCTCCTCTCCTCTGGGCTTTCCTCTAAGTGTGCGGCGCGGGCAGAACAGTGACAGGTGCAGTGACAGGTGCAGAAGTGAAAAGCATAAAAACAAGGAGACTGACACCTGCCGTAATAGACTATGGCCCGTGCCGTCAGGGGAGAAAACCGCACCTGTCTGTCTTGTTTTGTCACCCTCATATCTTCCCCTCTCCTTACCTGCGACTCTTTACCTGTCTTTGTTACGGCCGTCAACTATCCGTGCTTTATTTATTATTAACTAAGGTCTCGACATCGCCTTTTTCTCCGGCTGTCACTCAGAAAATAATAAACTCGCGAAGTCTTGACAAATGGTTCATGACATTTGAGAGACTTTTTGAATGAGGAGGATTTTAATTGCGTAGTCGGTGGGTTGACATGAAAGCTAGGGGCATATAGACCACTCCGTGAGATACATACATTTTAATGACAAAAAGTAGTGGTCTTGCTCATGAATTTTTGACAAGGGAACAAAAAAAAACTAAATAAGACATTATTAGATGCCGAAGTTTAGGCAGAGTTAACTTCGGGAAACTTCGTGCTTGGTTGGAAGGAACTTTGAGCACATGTCAAACTACGCCATAAAATTATAACTTTTGACATATAGAGCTAATGCAGATCTTATTAACTTCTTTTCTAAGCTTGGAGGTGACGCAGTGTAAACCAAATAAAATGGTGTCAAGTTCAACTGGCCACATTATGACACTATTTTCTGATCTGTTATAATGTTGTTTCCTCATCAAAAACATACCTAGAGTTGTGTTTTGTTTGATTCGCACATGTTTAACACACAGACCCTGCATATAAACTGAGTTATCCTCTCTAATGGAAAACACTCTGTTCCAGCTTGTGATGTCATGTGGTAAAACAGGAAGTGCTCCACTGTGTTTTCAAACTCTGTACACCTTCACTAGTCATTTGAGTCATTTTAGCTGTGGAATTGCCTAGCACTATTGAACAAAAGGTGAAAAAAAAAAAAAACACAACAAAACACTACATGACATCACAAGGTAGAACAGAGCATTTTGAGCTTTGAAGATGTGGACAGATTAATAATAAAGGATTGCCGCATTTTTCAGATGATAAGGTGCACTTAAAATCCTTTAATTTTCTCAAAAATCGACAGTGCACCTTATAATCCGATGCGCCTTATGTATTAATTCTGGTTGTGCTTACTGACCTTGAACTGATTTTGTGTGGTACACGGCGCTTTGTCAAAATGTACGACTTTGGTAAATTGCGATGCCACACCTCTTGATGGATTGTCAAAGCATTACAGCTACTGTAGTCAGGAGCCTTGTGGAGTAAGTTGTGTCCTTTAGTCCGACAGAAGCTGACCACATCAGGGCACAAGGAGCGAGCTGTTTTTTTCAGCACTTATAGTTTATGCAAGTTAGCCATATGGTTTTAAGTTTAGTTTCTGTAAAAGGTAAACAAATGTGCACAAAGCTGCATTAAACACGTTATTACTCAATGTATATTTGAGTCCTCCTTCTAGGAAAAAAAAACCCCTTAACTTAAACTTAAATATCCACCGACATTGACATTCATAATACACATTCACCAAGACAGGGAGGCAGTGCCGGGCGAATTATGTCACAATCTGCCAATGGATCGTGGATGCTGGGCTAAGGTTTCAGTCTCAAGTGTCGTCCATTTGTTTCGCTTAATGCACCTTATAATCCGGTGCGTCTTAAGTATGAAAATAGATGAGAGAATTCAACATTATTGTGCCTTATAATCCAGTGCACTTCATAGTCCGAAATCTGGTGTGCCTTAGTCCGAAAAATACTGTACTAGAAAATGTGTTAATGAAACAACACACAACTAACATGGGTAAAAACGTAATATAGGACCTATAGGAGCAAACTGAACTGCCCGACAAGTAAAAAAAAAAACTTTATCATCTGTTTAACTTTTTAATCTATATTATTTTGGAGTAACTGTTGTCCTTTTGAGACTGTAAATTAGTTTTGCATAGCACTATTAGACACTCCATCTTTATACTCAATTTCATGCATTATTCATTCACTCCATAAAACTATTATCCACAGCTGCCTTGGGGTAGACAAACAGAAACAAGGATGTCAATCTGCGCCCTCACCCTAACACCACATCACACTAGACAAGATGGGGGAAGTGTCTTGCCTAAAGACACAGCAACAGCTTACACTAGGGTCACCGCTGCCCCACTGTGGTACCTGGTATTCCCATCCAAGTACTAACCAGGCCCGGCCTTGCTTAGCTTCTGAAATTGGGCATTCTCAAGTTGGCATAACCATGGTATGTACAAACTTTCCTGTACAATTATACACAATATGATGTTTTACTTGATTTACCTCTTTCCTCCATCTTGTCCCTTTCTCAACTCCCAGAAACCCCGGGGCTGTGTTGCCGTAGTGGCAGCATAAACAACAATAGCAGTAACTTCACACGCTTCATATATTCCTACTTCTATATAAACTCTTGTAACTGTCTATAACTTGAGCCAACAAATCCAAAATGTCCGCCTTGTCCTTGATGTTCCACCATCTTTGTTTCTTTTTCCGTTTCTGTTTCTTACTCCCAGTTTCTTGTCCTACAGGGAGCCTCCTCTCTGGTCTGCCTTTAAGAGACCGTGTGGGCTGTTAAACTTTTCAAAGTCTTCCTCCGTCACCTCTTCTCCTATATACAGACTCCCCCTTCAGCTATTTAAACTGGTACTTTTGAACATGCGTCCTACTTGTTTGTGCCTACCCATAAGCTTACCTAACACTAGTTTCCCTCTATATTTATATGTAGTTAAAGATACACTCTGTGACATTTCTGTTGGAGGGTTGGCCGCCTCCTTGTTTTCATGGAGATGCTTTTGCTTTGCCTGGAATTATGTCCCACAGTATGGCACTATCTGAGACAAGCAGATGATGCCACCGGGTCAAGTTACAGGTCAGATCTGTGAAAAGGCAATCCCACTAACCTTAAGATTTTATGTATTTCATGGTAATTTTAGAGACTGTGCCGGTGAATAAATGCAAAAATGAGTCTAATGCTTCCACTTAATGTCAAGGTAGCGAAACTGTTGACAGAAAAATTACACAGTGCACTTTTAACTTAAGTAGATTTTGCAGAACTTGTAGATTCGGTACTGACTATTTCTTATATTCTAAAAATAAGATGTATGTAGTTTTTGATAGTGCTATGGAGCTACAAATCATCTTCTTCATTTTAAATAGAAATTGATAATTGTTTTATATTTTTAGTTTTTCTTTCTGTACTGTTTCTTTATTTGACAAGTTCACAAAACCTGAATAATAATGTATACTTTTTGTTTATTATCAGCCTTACCTTGTCGAGGTAGGTGTAGCTCCAAATTTTTCCATCAGCGAAGACTCTGGAGATGATGCGTCCCTGATTGTCGTACTCCCATTTCTCTGTGGTGGGACCCCTCTGCAGTCCAGTCACCTGACCGGTACTAAGACAAACAAGGTACATTCAGATTAAGTACAAAACGCCCACAATATTATGTCCTCTAGTTCAATATTTCCCAAACTTGTTTTCTGGGGATCCCTATTTTAAAAGTCACAAATCTTTGCAGCCCAAGTCAACAGACATTATTTGCAAATCACAAAATAAATGTGTGACCATTATTGAACATTAATGAGGAAATTTTATTGTTGACTTAGTGATCATGTCTCTCTGAACAATTAGTATTACTCAAGTTTTAAACAATGAAAAACAGTAATCAGTGTTTCCCACAGAAAATTGGTTAGGCAAGGCGGTGCTGCCAAAAATGTGAGGAGCGGGGAGGGGTGCGCAGATTCCATGCATGGAGAAAAAGTAGGAAAAATGAGTATCTAATCTTAGTGTTCTGTGTTCTAGTTGCTCTAGTTGAGGTAAGTCATTGCATTGGTAAAGGTGCATTGTGTAACTTTTCTTTTTCTGTTGGAGGGTCTGTCAAATTCTTTTCTTCATGAAGATGTTTTTGCTTTGTCTGAAAATGTTCACAGTATGGTGTTCAAACTTTCTAACCAAAACCAGAGCAAGTTACAGGTCAGATCTGTGAAGAGGCAACCCCGCTCACAGTCAGAAAACTTCTTTGTGTAGGTATTTTAGAACTACACTATCACTTGTAATTGAATACATGCAAGGATCTGTTTAATGCCATATTGTGAAACATTCAACGCAGAGCAATGACATATCCACAGAAACAAGCAGATGACAGACTCCCAACCAAAAAGTTACATAGTGCACCTTTAAGTGTATACTAGTTGAAATGTTGTGAGTGAGTACCTACCTGGAGTATGTAAGGTTAACAGACAGGAGCTTGCTGCTGGGGACCCAGAGTGTGGGGTGACCCTGGGTGTCATAGATGATCTTGAGCAGAAACTTTCGGTGATCATCGTAAATCTTCTCTGTCCTCAGTGAGCGGTCATAATCCACAGACAACAAGTTTCTCCCATTCACCTGGAACAGACACAGAGGCCGAGTGAGCGGATGGGAAAACATGCTGACTTGTTGTAAAATATATTAAAGGCCATTTTGGGAACCATCTTGAGAATGGATCTTTGTCAGGAGTACACTACTGGGCATGTTTGAGCCAGGTGGACCAGAATAATTAGAAGAAACCTACCCGGAAACAATGAGAACAATTCAATTTAGAATGTAAATAATCATGGAAATAACAGTTCATCCCCAGGTTTGACTACCCCAAATTTAAGACTTTTTAAAGACCTTTTTAAGACCACTTAAATGAAAATTAAGACCAACATCGCACCCATTATGCGGGCAAAAAACACCAGATCCAATTCTAATAATGACCACTACTCACTGGTTTAAATAACAAAAAAATACTGTTATTATAAAATCTCATTCAGAACTAATTTATAGTCATATGCTTTGCTTCTAACAAGACAAACTAAATATTGTTTGTGCATACTCCAAATTAGACGTTCATTCACATTACATGATTTCACATTGTTGTTTTTTTTCTCCTCCCTCTATTTAAAATTGCACTGCAGCCTGGTAGAGTCTATAAAAAATAGGCTAATAAGACTTGGACAACATAATTTAAGACTTTTTAAGTCCTTAATTCAGGAACATGAAATTTAAGACCTTTTTAAGACTTTTAAGGCCCCGTGGCTACCCTGAATAAAGAAGAACTAAAAGTAAAAGCATGTGCCCAAACTTTTGACTGGCAGTGTATGCATTTTTACTACTACTGACAATAAAGAGTTATATAATTGTTTCTTATACCACTTTAAAATATTAATATTCTTTGGACTTGACCAAATTCTGCAAATCATTATTATCTATTTTCATCAAATCAACACTAGACTAAAAAAAATCAGGTTTGATTATTGAATGTGAAATTTTTAATGACTACTTTTAGCTCTAATATTTTATTGAAGTACTGTGCTCCTCCTTGCGTCACTACTGGTGGCAACCCTCACAGCAAGGACAGTCCAGATTTAAGTTTGGTTTGCAGTTGCCCTAAAAAGTATATTCGTAAATAGTAAACTGTATAAAATTATAAAGTTATAAAGTTCAACAATATATGGTAACTTCTAAGCCTTACAGATCAACTTCTATCTGATAAATACAAAATAAAGGCAAACAAAAAACCACACACATCTTGCAGTGTCCATGTGTACCACTAGAGGTCCCTGTACACCTAGAAAATAATGATAGGCCTAATAAACCTTATTTATGACATGTGAGCAGGTCCAACATAAACAGTGGCAATGCAGTAAATCGCTGAATCAGATCAACTAAACAAACACCGTGTTTTAATCCCGCTCCATTTGAACTCACGCATCGCCAGCTCTCAATTACATCAGCTGTTCTGCAATATTTACTACTTTTTAAACACAGTTCTGAATTTATGAAGACAAATCATCCGGGTTTGAACGCTCGAGCTATATTAACAAATGTAGGGAGGAGATATATGACAAATTAGATAATCAGTTGTTTGGTTTCATTAAAGTTAAGAGTCCTACTGGAAAGTGTTCAAAAGTCTTGCTTCTAAATGAGCATTAGGTGAAGGGGCAGATGGACTTATTCAGACTGTGGCTTGGGTCCAGTTGGCGCGATTGTAACTCCGGTAACTAGGAAGGAGAATTACACTGGCTACATCGTTTTATTACTCTGGATAGAGACAGCAGCTGTACCTGGGTGGGATTTGAACCTGTGACCTTCTGGCTCACATGCAACTGTTTAACCCATTTTATTGTAGTCTCTTATTGGTCACAATGAATTATGGGAGGAATCAATGTGATGTAATGGATTGTGTCACAAGATTAATATGGGAATTTCAAAAAATTTATAGAATATTAATTTAATGCCTTACATTTTCTTTTTTTAAATTTTCAAATAACCAAGGGGAAAATATAATTATAACATACATATCAAAATAAAAAAGCATACATACAATACTAATACAAGGATAATGATTCGTTTTTTCAGTTTTTGATTTCGTGTTTAAATGAATAATAAAAAAAAAAAAATTATAAAAAAGGCTGTTTCCCATTTCCGTGGCTTAAACTGCGACGCCGGACTATTGCGCCGCATACGGATTGAACCAGGACTGAATCAGGACTAAAACAGGACTAAACCAGGACTAAACCATTTTCAATCCTGGTTTGGTCCTGGTCTGGTCCCGCCTTAGTCCCAGTCTCAGTCCTGGTCTCAGTCCTTGTCCTGTTCCCAATCTCAGTCCCGGTGTCAGTCAAGGTCTCAGTCCTGAACCCGGTCCCGGTCTGGTCCCGGTCTGAGTCCTGGTCTCAGTCCCGGTCTGGTTTCAGTCTAGTCCTGGATCTGGTTTAGTCCTGGTTCAATCCGTATGCGGCGCAATAGTCCCGCATAGCAGTTTAAGTCATGGAAACATGAAACGGTCGTTATCTGTTTTTTCCATTACTCATTTAAACACAAAATCAAAAACTGAAGAAAAATTTTCTTGTTTCCATATTTTTGGTTTTATATTGAAAAATGAATGAACAAATGATACACGGATTAAAACCAAATGCTTGATGTAATTTTCACATGAAGCTTTTGTCACTTTCATACGTATTAAGGGAGAAAAGAGTAACTGAACACCCAAAACTAAGAGTACTACTTCAGAAAAAGTATACTGTGATAAAACTACTCTTACAGTCAGCAGTTTTAAGGTGGAGGAAACTACCACCTCCTCATCTGTAACGCCACCAGGCCAAGTTACAGGTCAGATCTGCGTAGATGCAAGCCCGCTCACAGTAAGAATGCAGGTTTCTCCGAGTATTGAACAGCATTAAAGAGGGACTGATGCAAAATATATTTTTTTTTTTAAAGCTTTCAATTGTTCATTCATGCATATTTGAGTATTTAAGCAGTCTCTCTGGAGCCCTATGCAAACCTTCCTTGCTCAGCCAACAAGCCATACTCTAACACGACAATTCTCTAAAAAAAAATATATACAAAAACATAAAACAAAACAACACACAGCACCTTGACAAACCTGATGCGATGTGCAGTACTTTCAGTAGCTGGATGCATACTGATTGTGTTGTGATAGTGCTTTGAAGGGGGAGTAACTTAACACAGAGAACAAAGCGAGGCGAGACTAAGAGGGAAAACTTATAAAACATGTCAATACTGTTTTCGGTGAATATAGCATTTTCAGAACAATAAAAGGTTACATGGTGATCTAAATATGTTAAGTGTTCGCAGCCACTACCATATACAGATAATATACCCAGCCTTTAAATACACCTGAACATTCTTGGGCAACTCAATAACTTCCTTTGCCAGACAAGTTACAAAGTGCGCCTTTAAAAAGTTACTTGCCTAAATCTAACTCAACACCGCCCACCTCTGCTCCTTCATTTGTAAACCAGGCAGCTAAAGGTTGCAGAGTTGGCGATGTTGCGACAGTGGCTTTGTTCCAGTTGGCACACATGAGCAGGTTGGCAGAATGGCAGATTGATCTTGGGTTAGTCCAATTCACAAAACTCAAACCAATCTCCCGGTGTAAGCGTGAGATGTGGGGACGGAGATACAGCAGAGGAACAAGAGGCACAGTCAACAAGTCAAGTGCAGATTTCCCAAAGGACCAAAACGTAAGATGTAATTAAACAGGAATGTCTATGGTACACTGAAAGGAGTTGTGAGCAGTGACTTTAAAAAGGTGGTTTTTGGGGTTTTTTTTTAATGTTGAAGATTAGTTAAAGGTGCATTGCGTAACTTTTCTGGTTGAGGGTCAGCCACCTGCTTTTTTCCATGGAGATGTTACTGCTTTGTCTGGAATGTTTCACAGTATGGTATTAAACCTCTCTATCTTCACGGAGAGTGACTGTTTTTCTAGGTATTTTTGAGCTATAAAACCACCTGTAATTGAATGACTGTAAGGTCCATCTGTTTAATGTCATACTGAGGAACATTCCAAGCAGAGCAACGACATATCCATAAAAACTAGAAAATGGTGGACCCCCCAACCAACCAAGAAGTTGCATAGTGAACCTTTAAAGAGCTGTTTTGTTTTTGGTTTTTTTTCAGTGCTGAAGATTAGTTAGATAAAAGTTTTACCTCAGTGAAGTATCGCATTGTGAAAAAAGTGGAAAAAGCTGCAAATTACAGCTATATTCACAAAATTTCACCCAAATACTGTGACAATTGACACGCAAGAAACACATTTCCTAACAGTTAATATATTAATTAAAGAACGTGCTGTCATATATTTTTATCTGTTGAATTATTACTCTTGTACAAATCAGACAAGAGCTTTGGCTCTTAGGTAACAGTTATAAAATGACCTCTACACTTATGTTACATCTGCTCATGTCCAAAGAGGAAGTCAAATTATAGACTTCACCAAAACTATAACTACCATATTTATCGGACTATAAGTCGCCCTTTTTTTTATGGTTTGGGTGTTTCCTGCGACTTATATATTAAAATGTTCAGACTAACAGCCACGAGAGGGCGCTCTAGGCTTGTGTGTCAGTTTTCTGTGCACGTCTCCTACAGAAGAAGCCGCTGTCCTGCTGCAAGTAGTGAAATATTCAGCCGAAAATGGTAATCAAAAAGCAGAAAGAAAATTTGGAGTGAGTGAAAAACTTGTGAGTTACTGGTGAAAAGCAGGAATGGAGAACACAACTTCACAGCAACCCGGTGTGTGCACGGAGTTGCTCAGAAGTGACATCGAGGATGACAAATTCAATGGATTCAGTAGATTAAGTGATTTGGAGTGAGATCATGAGTTTGGTAAACTTATGTTCTGTTGTTTATGCTATAATTATCTGAATAACTGTTAATATGTTACATTAACATACCAGACGCCTATTCAGCCTGTTGTTATTTATTCTATTGTTATTACTGTAACTTGATTTTTAAGATGAAATGTCAGTTCTTAGTCCCTGATTTTATAAAATACATTTCTCCCAAAAAGTGCAATTTATAGTCTGGTACAACTTTTTTTCTTCTTCATTACGTAT